CGTTTGTTGTAGAATCATAAGCAACTCCGTATTTTCCTCTGGCATCGTATTCGGGGCTCTATATATACACACTACACCCACTTGCTCTCACCCCATTTGAATGCAGCATCCTGTGGCTTGGATATTCGGAGTAGCTAACTCCAACTGCATTACCCTTTGGTTAAGGTCAGCCTTGACGAGTAGCAGTACTCCACCCCCTGTCTGCCGTCAGTTCTGTTCTGCCTATAGCTTGTATACCCGCTTAAATGAGCAACGGGTTGCTTCTGTTTCAGCCATGATTCAGTAATACTGACTATATCTGAACCCCGGGTGCGTGCTCCTAATTCTCCCCATTTTCCACTAATACTAAAAGCATTTGTGTACCACACTGTGATAATTTCTGCTTTTAGATCTGGCCTATCTATGGAATCAGATTTTTCGGGCGTAATACCCGAGGGGCCACCTCGTTTTTCGCTATAACGTTGATGGTGGGCATGTCCTCGGCTACCCATGACAGTCCACCTTTGGCTTGACCTATATTCGTAACTCTGAGGTCTGACACTGTACTCACAAGATCATCCAGGTCTGCTGTCCCGCTGGAGCTCCCATTCATCATGACTGGATTGTGCAAAAGTGTGTTGGTCACTACCGTGGCCCAGCTGCGGGATCCAGTTGACCTTTCCGGTGTTTTCAGTGGTCCTGTCTTGTGGTCGAGATGCTGTTCCCTTGCAGGAGTAGTTATTTCTTTGTTTACTTTCGTGCTCCTCTGCTTTACACCCCCAGTTTCCAGGGCAGGAGCGATGGTTTTGGGAGCTACCTGGGTTTCCTTGGCTTTCCGTACTTTTTTGACTTCAGGTCCGGCGCGCTGTAAGACACTTCTTGACTTTGGCGTTGATTCATTCAAGGGTGATGCTTTCGGCTTTTCAGCCGGCCCAGTCGCGCTCGAGACGCTATTCATAGGATCCTGTTTGCTGGCTGTTACCTTGGTTTTATGGATCTCTTCAATTCTCTGTAACTTGACTTCAGGTTTGCGAACTGCAATTCCCGTCGGTCTTGTCACAGTCAGAAAAGGGGGTCTGTAAACCAGTGTACCATTGTCCGGGGTAGTCGATATAGCCCCTCGAGTAACGGTTTCAACAACTACGGCCCTCAACAGTAGCATATCCCTAGCATGCTGCCGAATGTCACCAGTATGGGACGTGTGTGCAGTTCCTTGTCCCTCTTCCACAGTCCCACCCTGTAACATTTTACAGTGCTCGTTGCGGGGGACATTCCCGCCAGGCAAAGAACATCCTGTACATACCTGCGGTCCATCTCACGGCGAGATTTGCCATCTCTGATCATGGAATCAGCGCAGTTATGGCGAGGAAAATTCTTCGCCCGACCTAGAATAGACTGTTTGGTATGCTTCATGAGATCCAGCTCCTTTTCTAGGCGCTCCAACCTTAAGCCTACATCTTTCGGCTCCTTTGTCTCTTCTGTTTTCGTTTTCGGCGTTGTACACCAAGGTTTCTCCACCCTTTTGTCTTTCTTTGATTCAGGTTTTTTAAACTTTCCTCTACATGAGCAGAAAGCACTTTAGGCTGTGCAGGCTCCGGTGCTTTCTTCCGCTCTAACGGTCTTAGTTTGTCCTTGAGAATGCGCGAGCATTCTTCGGCCAGTGCTGTACAATAAACACAAATTCACTTTAGGGATTTGTGCTCGGTATACAGTTCATGTGCCTTCCTGGATAACTTCAAACTGCCCTGATGGTACCAGAGATCGCACTGTATACCCTCGGCTGCATGCTTACGGCATTTACCACACTGATTTGCAACTTTATAGCTAGCTATTGCCATATAAATTGCAAATGTACACAAAAGGTTTCTTTCACAGTATAAAAGATAAAAATAGAACCCAAAATGTGTCGTGGACAGTAAACAGTAAAACCATGCAAAAAGGAAAAAGGATTTCACTCCTCAAAGCTGACCAACAAGACGGTGGAGTGACCTTTTAAATGGTCACAACGTTATACAATTATCTCAGTTAAAACTAAGGCAATGACACTGATGCGGAATATCGTTAGATATTCCACTTAGCACTTGAAAACGAATTACACACAGGAGCACTTTAAAAATTCAAACTGCGCGCGAGATACGTACCGTCAGGACAGGAAAGTTAGCAGGACTTGCGGCTTGAGCCAGCATAATAGTCCAGGTTCTTGCTTCAAAGGGCCACGTGTGTCTCGTAACGCTTTAACAGTCATTTGATCGGTCTTTGGTGGTCTGTCTTGAAGTCGTGAAGTGTTCTAGGCTGTTGCCCAAATGTCCCGGGTCCTTGAAAGGTATCTGTGTTTTCTTTCGGTTCGAATTTTTTCTAGAACAGAGAGTACTGAGAACGCATTATTAGGGTTCCTCGCTCGAGGCGAGAAATAAAATGAAGACTTGCGAACTCTCATATAATTCAAAATGTTTTTTTCTTTTTATTGGGGATGAGTAGATAAGCCTAAGTGGCGGTCAAGACGAAGTTTGAAGACCGCCTTGCTGGGGGCTTGAAGATGTTTTGCTATGACCTCGGGTAGGCTGAGAGTCAGCAATGACAAAATAGGTTTCGACAGTGCCCCTGTCGAAGAGATGGTAGAGGAGAAATAGGTCTCCTCGGATGCGTCTGATTTCTAGCGGATAAAGGCCCANAGTTGTTAGAGCCGCGTTGGGTAGGGGAGGTCCCTGAGTCCATGGACGGATTTTTAGCGGCTCTGTGGACGCGATCAAGGCAGTCACGATCTCAAATGAGGCCAGAGTGTGCAACTTGGCTTCCATATTCTAAGCGAGGGCGGATGTACGTTCCGTAAATAAGGGGAAAGTTGTCCTTAAGAATACTCGGAAAACATCTTTTGATGAGGTTCAGGACTCAGAACGCGGCCATATTGGCTAGATGGTTATGCTAATAATAATAATAATAATAATAATAATAATAATAATAATAGGTGTATATTTCACGGAGCCCGTGAGACTTGCACAAGGCATGATCAAATGATCAGAGCGAGTATATGTACAATAACAGTTTAAGTACACAGGTAGACAATTAAAATGGTGGTGATCAGAACGAAAACACAGTGTGAAAGGAACACAAACCGGATAAGGTTACCGACGAATTCATGAAAGATGGAGGATGCATTGAAAATGCATGTCACTAGAACTGGAAGTAATGGTAAAGCCGGTCTCGGGAGGATTGAACGTACAACAACAGTGCGGGGAAATACGGGGAGGAGGGCTGTGGAACAAATGCTGCCTGATGGTGGAGGCATGAGGACAGAAATAGATAAGAAGGAATACAGCCAGAAAAAATACGTCGGTAAAGGAACATGTTTTATTTTATGCTACAATACAACTCGGTTCTGGAGACAAGTTCATTGGGTTCGGGGCTTCAATCGATCAAGGAGTGATTTGGATTATTTAGATTAATTAGGGTTTGGTCGCTTTGATGTGGGATTGACTAAACGCTAGACACCTAACCGTAAAACACCATGTAGGTGAGGCAGGGTGTGTGATTCTCAACCTGGTCCGGAACGCGGACGCATGTAGTCAAAACAGTGGAAACAGCCGTGCCCAACAACCATTGCCGGAGCCAAATTGTCCATTGTGGGTGAGG